TAAAACAAAACAAAAACCAACTAAATCAACGAGCCCGCGTAGTTCGCACACAGAATCGTCCCGGGGAAACACGTCCACAGTGTCGCGGTTCCTCCACTGACTGTAAAGATATTACACAATATTGTATCCCGTTTGCTTAAATGATGTAGTGAATCAGATTTTTGAACGAATCTGTGAACGATCCGTTCTCATCTAGCTCGCAACCATAGACTGTAAACAAGGCAACACTGACATCTGCAGTATAAACCAAGCGTAGAGTAAAGACATGATACATCAACGTGATCACAATGGACCTTTGATCAATTTCTTTAACTCATGTAAACCTGAAATAATACAGTTATAAGGTTTTATATTGTATATTGATCGCAATTTATCTTTACACATAGAACATAATTTATAATATTGTACGGTAGATGGAGCTGTGTTCTCTGAGAATTAAGGGAGAAAACCAACGAGGAAGAAAATCGTTCATGTTTTGAAATGCAAGCATATAGTAGCCTGTTTTTAAACAGTCATTTGATCATTATGTATGGTTATGGTTGTTTGTAAACTTTGTCAGTATTTTAAGCACTCATGAGCAACACACGGGCTCTGGTGAGTTGCACAATACTTTCTCTGCAAGACTCTTGTTTTGTATATCCATGCTGCAAAGGCTGTCTATCCAGATTAATTCAGCAAAGCAAAAGGTACGTGGTAAAATTCAATCAATTTTAATAAAATTCAATAATTTCGAATTATGTTGAATGTATCATTATGTGTAATTACTGATGCTATAACATAATTACTTTTGTGTGTGTGTGTGTTAAATTAAAAAGCTTCTGAACATCATGAATAACTTCTAAATCATATCTTTAGGGCTATATGTGGAAGATGTGGATTCACTTGTGACTTACAAAACATGGACTACAGATATGTGTCATTTAAAGTGTCCAGAAACCAAGATATATTTGGTGTGACAGTATTCGGGGGTTGTTTAAATCCCTTCTTTGGCATTACTGCTGGTGGCCTTCAAAGGTGTGTGATTTTAAACATCTTGAACAAACATTTCTGTTGATTCCTTGCTGATATAAAGTGTGATGTTTCCAGATTTATTGATTTGGAGAAAACTGAAGGTGCACTTACTGTTCAACAACTGCTTTTTAAAGCTGTGGAAGACTGCTTTATAGGAAGATGTGTCATTTTTGGATTGAAGGTATGGAGCATTTCTTCATTTAATTTGGGGTGGGGCATCAAGATTATCCCCCTTTTTTTTTTTTTGCTCATTTCTTGTTCCTTCCTAACAGGTTTCTCATAATGTTGCCACAACTTCTTCGCTGTCTGGACAGTTAGTGGCCTGCCAGATCATTTCTCCATGTGAGTCTTCAATGGGATGTACTGTAATCGGTTATTTAAAAAACCTCCTGCAAGCAAATTCTCATTCTGCCAACAGTATCTGTCCATCACAACAGAAAGACTCACAAAGTTCACAAAGCAATGAGTTCAGCAGTTTTGATTATACTCCTCCATCATGTGCAAAGTTGGATTCTCAAACCAGTAGTGAAGAATTCACACTCTCAAGCGCATGGCAGTCACCAGGGTTATGCTTCCCCCCTGAAGAATTAAGTAATGACTTGTTACAGCAGTCCAGAGGCTGTAATCATAATATTCTTTCACCAAAGAATGAAGAGACAAGAACATGTAAAAGCACTAGCCAAAGCAACACCAGTCAGTTAAAGCATGTTAATTGTATACAGGATGAACTGAAGAATGAAACACAGAAGATTCACAGAGAATCTTTTCCCTCGAGCTGTGACATGTTTGAATCATCAGCACATTTCAACAGCTCTACTGCATGTGACACTATAAAGCCACTGAGCACTTTGTCCTGTGGAAATAATTCTGAAATAATTACATCTGAACGCCTTGTAAGAGCTAAAACCGGGGATGAATATGATGCACCTTTACGTGAGAAGTCACTATACAGTCATTCTGGTCAAAATATATGTTTTGATTTAGAGGACGCACCTTTATCTGAAAGTTTACATGATTTTGTCAGTGTTGAGCCTCAGATATCAGAGATAATTGACACAAAGGAGCGCATTTCAGGTAAAGGTGATCAAATAATTCAAGTGCAAAATAGATGCTCTCTGACTGAAAGTTCAGTGGTCACAAGCATCTCAAAAACTCTACAAATGCCTCTTTCTAGTGAAAAATGGTCCTCACCAATGTGCAATGTGAACAACATAAGCTGGAAAGAGAACAATGAAAATGACTGTCCAGAAAATCTTGAAACTAAGATGAACAATGCTGAGATCAGTAAGACTATTTTGTGCATTACCAATTCTTCAAAAAAGATGATTCCTTTCAGTCCTGACATTACATGTGCATGCAATCACTCAATTGTCTTTTTCGAACAAAAAAAGAACTCACTTTAAAAAGAAAACAATTAACTAGGAGCAGACCCTCTGTGGCTTTTTGTTCAGTAAACCATGAAAAGGGCAAATGGTGCTCAAAGTGAGGTCCATTCTGTAAATTGCAAAGTCAAGCAGGAATGTATTGTGTTTGATGACCATGAGGAGAAATACAATTGCTCTGTAGACTTGTTTGCTTCTGGTCAGAGCAGTATGGACATGAACCATTCGGATGTGACAGAGATTTCTAAAGTCAATGAACTGAGGAATGGCAACACATCAGAGCCTGGAGGTTCAGGTTCTCTGCTTTTTTCACCATGTTTGCAATCCACCCCAGTTTCTTATTATAGCAACTCATGTGGACAGAAGACCAGGCGAAGCCAAAAACATGTAGACTCATGCTCTGGAAAAATTAAGAGTGAGTTTAAAAGTAAGATCATAGATCTGAGGTTAAGTGATAAAAGACAAAAGGTGGATCAGTTGCCGATTGTTGGGTCTGCTGAGGGTTTCTCAGGCAAGTCTGACATGCAGGATGCAAGTTGTAATTTATCTGTAAATGAGTGGTCCAAAGATCTTTTTGAAAATTCATTTTGAATTAAAATTGAGTGAGATTAATTACAATATTTATTCTGTTCATTAATTGTAATTGTAAATAAACAATTTTGTAAATGTGTGTTTGAATTATATAAATGTTTATGGGAAAATGACTAGTTTTATTATTATTATTAAGAATGCATATCCAAAATTGTATGTTATGTATTCATAATTAAACCGAATCTGCATGTTTAATAATCAAAATGCTGGCTTACACATGTATAATAAAATGGTTGAGGAAAAAAACACTTTTGTCCACTAAAGTTGTGTTCATTTTGCTCTGCGTCACGTTCACCAATACTTCAGCAACGTTGATGTATTCAAAATAGACGATTAAAATGCAAGATAGATCAACCTTTCCATATATCTGCTTATAGCTTATTGAAAAAATAATACTCTATATGTTTTGAACCTCTCTTCTATGCAAATTATCCTAAAGTGTGTATTTCATTTTCAAAGTGATGACGATATTGTACTCTCTGTTTTGATTTATTAACTGTTGTTGTGATTGTTGATTTATTAAATTATTTAATTCTTCTGATGCTCTTCTTGAATATATAATAGTTCTGTTTTGACCAATGACATTGAGCGCAAGCCTTTCATCAGCCAATCAAACGCGAGCTTTTCAGCGCAGCCAATCGGGAAGCAGTGACGCGCGTTCAACTATAAAGCATTTCAGATGACGCGCGAGTCTGCTGAAGTACGACGGACATTTTGCAACGCTTTTTCCAAACAGAAAATATCGTTATTCAGAAGCAAGACGCGGCGAGGTACGGCACGACATTCGACGTACAGAGGAAACCAAGAGGAAGTACAGATGTTTAGGAGGACTGTGTTGCAACTAATGTTTGTATAAAAGCTTACATTGTGTGGCGACAGCCCTCGACTCAACGGCTAAAAGATGTCGGACGAAGGCGCGAGGGAGGACGCCTGCCGCGAGTACCAGTCCTCGCTGGAAGATCTGACTTTCAACAGCAAACCGCACATCAACATGCTCACCATTCTAGCCGAAGAAAACATCCAGTTCACCAAGGATATCGTCGCAATAATTGAAGCACAAATTGCCAAGGTTTTTATGAATATAGATTTATTTTTGTTTCGTTTCAGTCATCGTCTTTTCGCTCGAGTGTGGCTAATGTTAGTTAAATGACGACGTGACATGAGGCCTGTAACATGGCGGCAGCACGCCTAGTTCGCTAACCACTTAGAAAAATCGACGTAAAAATCTTTTTGATGCTATATTATCTTTAACCAATATTGAGTTTATTATATAACGACATTTTTTAAAGTATCAGTCAGAATTTACTGTTTTTGTAGCTTAGAAAAGTCACCACTCCACATTACCAAATTAGGCCAGTTGCAGCAGCATGTTTAACTGCTTGTTGGGTCACATCTGCTCATGAAGTCCGACTTAATGTTGACGCACATTTGGCTTGAAGTTAATAATCCATGTTTTACCTTCTTAAGCTTATCGGATAATGATAACAGCCTGGTGGCTTCACATGCTCTCTCACTACTATGTCAGTTCCAATTCGATTTATTAACTTAAACCAATGTTACAGTAGTTTATACGTTATGTTGTTCCATGACAATCCATAAATCTGGTTTTATGAATCATAATTTATCTACAAGAACCCTAGATAGGAAAGGAAAGAATTTTCCGTGTTATGTAATCAGCCCAGCGAGTCATCGTCGTTGTGTAATTGATTGTACTTTCCATATATAGCAATTTTGTAAACATGGATTGATTAGAAATATAAGGTGCAAGACAACCCGTGTTGATACCAACAATTAATCAGGAATAAGTATTTGCGTACTCATGGTTGTAGTTTGTCATATCACCAGCTGGTACACTTGGTTTGCCGCCTATGTACATGGATGCATATTATTTGGGAAATCCGAGGAAATTTTTCATATCCTTGTTTATGTTTGCAACCTATTTGAAATCTTGCATTAGTTCGGCTAGTCGTGTTGGTCTGCTCCGTGAAAACGAGCACGCCTGCATTTAAAGTTCTTAATACAAATGTGCGCCATTCAAATTCCTGTGTACTTGAACCAATAAAGGGTTTGGGGTGTTAGATTGCTGGGTAATTTTCCATTCTTTACTGCAATGTTAATAAATGGTATACAACTGTGACAATAAACTGTGAAATGTCCTTTTGTCTTTATTTCCCAGTGTATTTTTTTTGTGGTAATGTTGGCTATATTGATGTCATTCTAATTTAAATGCTCTTTAATACAAAGACATTTGCATTGGTGCAGTGTCCTTTCCGATGACATTCCAAAGCTGAATGTGTAACAAATACTTCACAAAATAATTGCAGAATTTTGCAAAACTGTGCTTCTCTTTGCACTGGGGCTTGTTGGTTACAACCTGTCAATCATTTTATGGACTCATGTAAAATGTAAAGACCAAGTGTTTCATTTTTTTTAACCCAAATTGAAGATCAAATCTAAACTTGAATTTAAATGGATCCCTGAGTTGAATTCCTGGTCAAGTACAAAAATACAAGTGAAAAAAGCTTTAATCCTTCATTTATTTTTCAATTGAAAGGACTTGGGCTTCTTGCTAAAAAAATGATACCAGTTACTGAAACTGAATTGCACTGACAACATTAAAACTATTTTCTGCTTGATGGACTGAGCTTGAAGAGTGAACATTGAAGAAGTTTTTCAATATTTTTTCCAACTTTTTTTTTTTTTTACCTGGGACATGGATATTTTTCATTCCTGCATCTGAGGAACTTTTCCCTGATTTTTGATGGATCTGTTTGAGGAACTTTTTTTCTTTTTCTTTTTTTAACTGCAACCAATGGACTTCCCCATAAGGGCTTGATTTTTGTTTTCTGTGCCAGTATTTTTGATCCAACTTCAACCATTTAATAATCTCAACAATCAAACTCTAATTCTATGTAGTTGTGCATTTCTCCCATGTTGTTCTCTAAACTTGTCAGTTTTCTATCACTTTAGGCACCTGCTGGTGAGAAGCTCCCAGTTTTGTACTTAGTGGATTCCATAGTGAAGAATGTTGGAGGGGAATACCTTGAAGTGTTTGCTAAGAACCTAGTCAATTCCTTTATTTGTGTATTTGAGAAGGTACATAATTCTTTGAAATTGTGTCCATGGTGTTACTTCTGATTGAACATCATGTGCTCTGTCCTCATTTAAAATACTGTATTGTGCTAATTAATTCCTTTGCCTTGATATATTATTTCATACCTTAATATTACATTTTCGAATGGTAACCTATGCAGTTTTGTCAGTGTTCTTTGAGAATAAACAGAGAAGTCAGATATTCTTCCCCTCCTTTCTTTTGCTTCACTTAAGGTGGATGAGGTCACTAGAAAAAGTCTCTTCAAATTGCGTTCCACATGGGATGAAATTTTCCCCTTGAAGAAACTATATGCACTAGATGTGCGTGTGAACTCAATAGATCCTGCCTGGCCTATAAAACCATTGCCACCAAATGTGAATGCGAGCATACATGTCAACCCCAAATTTTTGAAACCGGTAAGCATTTTAGGAGTTCTAATTTTTAAGAGTTGGGAAGAAGTGTACTGCTATGGTTTATCTGAAATGTGTGCTTTTCTCTTTGCGTAGACTGAAGAAACATCTCCGAAGCCTCCTGCACCACAACCTCCAGCTCCGAGCTTGACACAAGAACAATTGATAAGGCAACAGTTGCTTGCAAAGCAAAAGCAGTTGTTAGAACTTCAACAAAAGAAGATAGAGCTTGAACTTGAACAAACAAAAGCTCAGTTGGTGAGTTTAATAGTCGTGCTTTATAACAAGATGAACTAGAAAGGGCTGCATGATAGTATTTGCAGTTTTAGAAGTATAAAACTTGTTATTTTTGTGATGTGTCAAGCAAAATTGATATTAATAATAGCAGTGGATAGGAGCTGTAGTTAGTCTAATGCAGCTGGACCATCATTATCCATACTGCTCGACCTCTTTTAAAAGAGAATTGCTCCTTTTTTCCCCCATTTTTAAGGCTGCCAGTCCTGCTATTGCTTCAAACCACCATGTCGGTGCTCCTGCACGTTTTGATATCTCCGCAAAAGTCACTCGTACGGTTCCTGCACCACAAACCAAACCTTGGCTTCCAGCACCATCAGAAAAAATGTCAACCAGAGATCCTAGATTAAACAGACCTGGTGCAACAGCTGTAAATGCAAAAGAACAAGTAATGCATAAGAAGGAGAGTCAGGTCACACCAAACTTTCCAAAAACATCAGAAAAAAGAGGACCTGTCTCAGCTGAAAGACAGATTAAGTTGGAGAAGTTGAGGATTCCAAAAAAGGATAACTCTGCCATTGAGGAAAAGCCTAAATCCAAGTCAGTCTCACCATCTGGAAAATGTATCCTTGTCAGACCCAGAGGAATGGAGTCTGAACATTCAAAGACTGCTGAACTGAATAAGAAGGACCCAAGGCTACATAAGCAGATGCATGACAGGACAGATTCAAAAGATGATGATGTCCGAGAGAAGAAAAGAAGTTTAGAGAAGAAGGAGAAGGATGAAGGTGTCAAAAACTTGGATCATCAGAAGTCCAGCAGCACCAGGGGCAAGCTAATAAATGGCTCTCTAAACAAGCATGAAAGACTTGAGACATTTCTGAAACAAGAAATTAAAGTGAACAAAGCAAATGTTAGAAAAAGGTCTCGGTCAAGATCACGTTCACCACCGTTACATTCTCCCAAAAGAAAAGAGAGGCGTTCATCTCCAAAGAGAAAAACCAGGAGTATTACTCCACCCCCCAAGTCTGGAAAGGCTAGGATAAGTAAACATCAACATAATGATGATGCTTTTCCACAGTCAAGTCTAAGAGATGAACGAAGCACCAAGAAAAGCGCCCCAGAACCAAGACGACCAAAAAGGCCGCTTGACGATAAACCTGCTGTTCAGAAAGATGGACTGCAGCAGAGAATTTTTCCTGCAGAGCATAAAGACACAAAAGATAGCAAGAGATGGAGGAGTGGATGGGAAGAAAGTAAACAGTAAGTGACTTTAAAATGTCAATTCTTAAACATCATTTGTCTTTCTATTATTCAAATTAATAAACTGCCTTAACAGTCCCAAACAGTCAGAGTCAGATCTCTCACATGGACGACTAGGCACCCAGAGACGCAAGACTTGGAACACTAATCAAAGACTGTCCACACCTCGTACACCTAAACAGCATCGCTTGAGTCTTGACAGTAACATACAAATACCAGAAGCACTTAATTCTGCCAGTAAACGAGATCTTTTAAGGAAGGTATGGCAATTTCATATTTTTGTAGTTTTGTAATCAGTTTTTCTTTAACTAATACATCATTAATTTAAATATTGCTAAACTAGACATTTTTCATTTCAGGCTAGCAAAAGACATGCTGATGGTGAAATATCCAGTGATGAATTCCTCAATGTAGCCCATCAAATAAACCAACTTTTTCAGTATCAAGAGGAAAGACAGCGATCTGACTCTTGGGATGACTCGTGTGATGAGGGAGTATATCAATCAAAAAAGAAACAACAAGGAATGTCTGATGCGGAGCTTTCTTATCTTGAGCATAAATCTAAGTTGAAAAGAACACAGCTTCAGCGTCCAGGTAAGATTTGTCCTGTTTGTAAATATGTATGTGAAATGTAGCACTTTTAAAATTGTATCTAAAATTTTATTTTATTTATTTCACCATGGCAGGTAATATTTAAACACGCCCTAGGTTGTTGTTGGTGTATAATAAAGAGTCTAAACTTGAATAATTTTCCTATATTCATTTATCTCTACAGTGCAAAATGATGGCCAGTCGCCTTTGCATGAAATGTTCTATCAGCCTCAACATGAAATGACAGAACAATACAGTGAAAGCTCAGAAGTGCATAAAATGTCTGGTGATGCCGTAAAGCCTGAACATGAAGATCCTAGAAGAACCGACAGGCCTCCATCATGTACAGGTTCCACATTCAGAAATTCACCAAGCCCAGTCAACTTGGACGGAACTTGTGGAAAATCCACAGAACCGCCATTTGAACGCTCATCATCTCCAGTTGAAATGGATCAACAATCAGGAGACATCAGCCCACGTTTTGAAAGTCCCAACAGCGTGCACTCTGGCACAGGTCCAGATGATGGTCCTATAAGTGTAGAGGTTCTTCCAGGGCATGATCATTTCTTGGAACAGGGAAGAAGTGGACGAAACCATGGTGAATCTCCTGGGAATACACCGACTCACTCCTCAGAAGGATCTATGGCACAGGTGAACACGCCACGGCATGATGGAGCAAGTATTCCTCAAAGGTTTGATAGATATAAGAGTTCTCAAGCTCCCTTTGATGGGCCATCTAGCCACATGAGAGAGCCAAGTTTAGATGGTCCTCCAAGACCTTATGCGCCTCCTCCTCCTCGGTATGAAGGAAATACAGGGGGATTTGATGGGTCTGGTGGACCTGTAAAGTATCCTGGACATCGCTTTGATGCCCCTCACCGGTTTGAAAGATTTCCCATAGCCCATGAAAGACCTGTGAGATTTAACAACCCAGCAGTATCACACAGGCCAATGAGGTACACAGAGCCTCATAGCGTGGTGAGATTTGACCCTCAGACCCCAGTTCGTTATGACCACCCAATGCACCAAAACAGATTTGTTAATCCACCAAGGTTCGATAATCCTCACATGCAACATGGTCCACCAGGATACGAGGAACCACGGTTCCCGACTAGACTAATGAATTATGATGAACAGCAGGGTACAGTTAGATTTGATAGTCCATCAGGTGGGATGCGTTTTGAGAACCCGGTGCAGCCTGAACCCTTAAGATTTGATGCACCACCTGTCATGCCAAGATATGACCCACAAGGTCCTCCAAGATACTGCGGTCCAAATATTCCAAACCAGCTCAGACCACAGGAGCCAACCATGTATGATCAAACTCAAGGTCAAGCTCCTGTGGTAAACCCTGTTGTACCACCACCTACTTTCAACATTCCACCCATGAACACGTATGGTGGCCCGGCCCAACAGTTTCCCATGCAGCAAAATGTTTCTCAAGCATCTAACTTCAGTGTGGCAGTCCCTATGTCATCGGATTTCCAGGGTTCATTTAGACCTGCTCCATTCCCTGGTCCGGGTGTTGGAAATGTTCCTCAGCCTGTAAGTATTCCTTACTCAAGGAGTCCTTTACTTTTGTTAAAGTTATCAAGAGTTATCAATTGAGTTGTCTTTTTGTTAAACTTGGAAAAATAAAGTTAGTTTTTGTCTTGTGAATTTATAGATGATGGGACCTCAACCCTTCATGCCACCAAACCAAATATCTTTCCAGCCTGGTAAGAATGTCTTTATTTTATTTGTTTGCATAGCCTGAAACAGAATTATACACTACTGTTAACTTACCAGCCTACATTTGTTTTGATTGTGGCATCTACTTTAGACCTGTATTATAATAAGTGAATTATTGATTATTGATTCAGGTTCCCAGTTTCAGCAGCCTGAGCCCGAGCCATTGAGGCAAATAGATGTGAACGATCTGTTATCAAAACTTATATCCACTGGAATAATAAAACCTGCACAAACGGACTCAACGACTGGTATGCATACTGTATCATATTTCATTTCTTAGCGTTGGACAATTCAATTGCATTAACTGCAGTCTTATATTTCAAATGAACCTGTGTAAAGATTTTTTTTTGTCTGTTTTAGACTCCACTTCAGCAGGTCAGACTTTATCTGTGCCTGAAGAGGAAGAGGAGGAGGAACAAGAGGAAGATGAAGATGTCCCAGACTTGACTGGCTTTGTTTTGGAGGACATGAAACAGTATGTACATCTACATACTCTCTGGAGTCTAGACACAAGTGAATCTGACAGAAATATCTTTATTATTGTGTGACAGTAAAAAATAACTTAATGACACCAGATGTTTTGGGAAATTTGTGTAATTTAGGAGACACGACAGCATTATCACCAAACTATATACTGGAATCCAGTGCTATTCCTGCGGCATGCGTTTTACTGCATCTCAAACGGATGTGTATGCAGATCATTTGGACTGGCACTACAGACAGAATCGTTCAGAGAAGGACATCAGTAAGAAAGTTACACACCGACGGTGGTACTACAGTCTGACGGTAAGCTGGAGGCAATCCTGTTTCATTTCTTTTCCTTATTTAATTGTATATTTTCAGAAATTTGTCATTAAGAACTGAAATGATCTCCTGGAAATAGAACAAAGGGCTTTTAAAATCGTAACATGATCAAGTGCTGTTTTTTAGGATTGGATTGAATTTGAGGAAATCGCTGATCTTGAGGAGAGGGCAAAGAGTCAGTTCTTTGAAAAAGTTCATGAAGAGGTTGTACAGAAAACTCAGGAAGCAGCCAAAGAGAGAGAGTTCCAGAGTGTAAAGGCTGCTGCAGACGTCGTTCATGAGGTTAGACGATGTACACAGACTGTGTGATAATACATAGTATTAGAAAAATGATATGCTAAATTAAAGATTTCTTTCTCTCACTCGCTCTCCTCAGCTGTGTGAGATTTGCCAGGAGCAGTTTGAGATGTACTGGGAGGAGGAAGAGGAAGAGTGGCACCTGAAGAATGCCATCAGAGTCGATGGAAAGGTAAGAAATCTACTAATAAAAATAAAAAAACAAATTTGAGAAATATTGATGTTTGATAAAATACTTAAATTGTTTTCCCTTCTCTTTTAGACATATCATCCCTCATGCTACGAAGACTACAAAAATGTAAGTGTTGATTTGGAGAATGGCATCGTTAACATGCATCACACCTATATATTGAAGTCAAGTGGCTAAAACATGCTGTATTTAGATTTTTATGTAAAGGAAAATCTTTCCATCTTAATTTTTATTTAGTCAATTAAAACACTTCCCCTTTTTTCATAGACATCCTCCTTTGTGGATTGCACACCCTCACCCAATAAAATGCTTACAGAAAACCCTTTAACAGCTTTCATGAAACAAGAGCAGGGTGATGAGGTGTCATGCTCCAGTATTAAAGAAGAGCCCTCCGAGGACGTGGAGGATATGGATGCACCAACGGTAAAAGAGGAGGTTCAGGTTAAGTTAGAAGGAGAATCACAAACCAGTGCAATTATTTTCTAACTATGCTGCTCCTTAGCCACTTCTTTTTGTGGTTACTTTAGCTGGTCTTTTGTGTTTTTGTAAATAAGGATATTTTTATATTGCAGAGCTCTGAGGCAGGGACCTCAGTTAGTCACTTTAAATACATTTTTGTATTTGTATTTGCCTGCACATTTCAGGTATTTTTTGCCATGTGAATGCCCAATGAAATGTACTGTGAAAGATGTACGTTTGGGGTAAATGTATATGTATAATTTAATTTATAAATAAAGATATTTTTGGTATTCTTTGTGTAGTATTGATAAAGAAGTTTGAATTTGGGTTTTGGGTTTTTTTGGTTATCAATGAGACATTTGTTCTGACTTTTGGAGAATGGTTGAATACTAATTTATGAATGACTTTGTTTTGCCTCCAAAAAACAAGGGAAAACCCGTTTCAGTCATTGATAATTCCCTAAATCCAGGTTTGGGGCTGATTGTAAATTATTAATAGTTGATGGAACATAATTTACTACGAGAATTTCCCTGACCTCGACATGTAAATAGTTATTTCAGTTTACTACTGTATTTGGTTCAGAGTAATGTGTTTAGTTAAAAATGGGAAAAAAAGTCGCTGTTTTTTTTTTCTCTCTCTCTTTTTGCAGAGGTTCAAATGGCAATTTTGCTTTATTCGGAATATTCAATAAAAATTTTGAGGAAGAAATAGTGTCTTGTGTGTAAAGTGATTTGTGCGCTTTTTGACTGATTTAAAGTTGTCAGTTTCATGCATAATCCTAAATAAAGTTTCAGTGCTGATGGAACCTTCTCTGTTCATTTATTTGGTTCTGATTATTACAACATGTTTAATTGTGCGCTCCTCATTTGGGAGTCACACTCATGGTCTTCGCGGTCAAAAGTGACCGGACACCTGAAATGTAACTTTTTTTTTTTCTTCAGTAAAATCAATCTAATATATTTTTGTTCAATATTTTGTATTTTGAGAGAATTTTATGGTAATGTTTATGCAGTTATCAATTTTGCACATTGAAAATAGTACCTTTTTTTTCATAAAAAAAAGTCTTATTTTTTGAAGGCAGATTAACACCTCCTGGTGAGAGCAAAGAAAGAAAAACATGTAATTTCATGGTGTAACCACTAGATGCCTGTATAGAAATCTATAGAGACACTTGAATTCCCTAGTTGTTTTTATACATAATTGTTTACTTTTTTAGGTTGTGGTTTTAAATGTATACTAAGGCATTCTCAAAGACTACTTTTTGTCAAGGTTTCTATTTTTTGTTGTTTTAAATGTTGATTTGAAGCATCAGTTTTTGAATTATTATTACTACAGTCAAACCTGAATACGGAAAGCATTTTATACAAAACATTAAAATTTTACAAAAATAAACCGGAATGCTTTATCAGAGCTTGATCCTTCTGGTCCTGATCTGATTTAAACCTCTTATTTCAGTTTTCTGACTCATTTTGGCTATATGGTTATAGCCATACCAATTCATTTGAGTGTGTATGTGTGTGTGAGTGGATGTGTCTGTTTTGCACTATTGATGTTTTAGAGTGTAACCCCTTCCTTGCTGTACACTTTTTTACTAAAATGTAGTTGAATTATTTATTTTATTTTACATAGTTGCAGTGTTACAGTCACACCAGTTCATAGGTGTGAGTGGGTGTGTCGATTTTACACTCTAGATCAGGGATCCTCAAATCTGGCCCACGAGATCCACTTTCCTGCAGAGTTTAGCTCTAACCCTAATCAAGCACACCTGAGCATGCTAATCAGTGTCTTCAGGATCATTAGAAAATCATAGCTAGCTGAGTTTGATCAGGGTTGGAGCTAAACTCTGCAGCGCATTGGACCTCCAGGGTAAGATTTGAGGAACCCTGCTCTAGATGTTTTACAGTTTCACCCCTTCATTGCGGTGCAGTTTTTTCTGCATCATGGTGGATTTGTAGATTGTACTCACAAAATCTTTCTGTATTTTCACATTTTTTTTGCCATTCCCATTCATTTCCTATGGTCAGTCATTTTTGACCGAAGACCATGAATGTGACTATTTTTTTTACGAGCACTTCGCTTTTTCGAATCATGTCCTCAATTTTTTTTGTGTTCACATACCAAGTGCCATAAAAGTCAACAAGTTACGTACCATTCCGATATAAATTTTATATATTTTTTTATAAGATTTTAAATATTCAAAATGTAAAATTCTTCGGTCAAAAGTGACCGAAGACCGCACAAGGGTTAAATGTGTCTCACAGGTGTACCATAAAATTAGTTACAACCATATTTTTAGTTCATCTCTTACTTCTGTTGTCATAACGTCATGGCTAAAACCTGATGATTACAACAATAATTCAAGCAATTATGTTTGTGCTACCTTGTAAGTGTATAGTTTAACACGTTGAGAAAATGTTTATCCTAATAAGTTGAAAATATAATACTTATCACATGCTAAGCTCTGTGGTTCAATATATTAAGTGAAATGACTGCAATACATCAGAAACAGCTTCTGGATCAGGTTGAATAACCCCTATATAAAATAGAAAAAAGTGGCATTGTCCAAATTCTTTATATATAGATAATATTTGTCTTCATGCATACAAACATGCTCACAAAATCTTTTAACACAAAGACATCTTTATTGAAATGTTAAGTGCATAATGTTAAAATTATGTACTTGCATGAAAGAGAACACCATAGCCCACCATATCATATATATATATATATATACACACACACACAGGTGCATCTCAATAAATTAGAATGTCGTGGAAAAGTTCATTTCAGTAATTCAACTCAAATTGTGAAACTTGTGTATTAAATAAATTCAATGCACACAGACTGAAGTAGTTTAAGTCTTTGGTTCTTTTAATTGTGATGATTTTGGCTCACATTTCACAAAAACCCACCAATTCACTATCTCAACATTAACATTTTGTGGACAAACAGGTTGTTTACATTATTTTGTGTGTTCAGATTATGGAGTCAAACACAAAGGATGAAATTCAGGTTTAAACTTTATTCTTACAGCATTTTCGGAGCGTAAATTGGCAAATTCACTCTTCTCCAGGATAACCATGTCTTTCCTGATAGCGTCTAAATGAGCCATGATTTGTTGTAGAGCTATTTCCTATACCAGATGAAGAAACCATATTGGATTCAATGGGTTTCATTAACAGTCATTTCTGCTGACAGCAGTTTTGTTGGCTGTTTACCTGATGGGCTCCAGTGACCATATCTCTGTATACAATGTCCATATTGGCTGTAGTAAGAGTCACCAGTGCTGTGACAATCACTTCTGCCTGCCTCTTCTCAAAGCCTGGATTACATATGCAGGTGAAGAAAAAAATCTGCTTAATTTAAACGAGCATTATATAATTAATACATTTTGTAAATATAATTTCGATCTCAAATATCTATATTAAGCTTACATTTATACTTCTAATTCTTAAACATATAACAAAAATTAAAGGGGTCATATGATGCGATGAGTGTTACAAGCTGATTGTGCATAGATAAGATCCCGGAAGTTGCAAAGACTAAAGTCTCAAAACCAAAGAGATATTCTTTATGAAAGTTAAGACTCTGCCAAAACGGCTCGTTCTAACACGCCCCCACATATCTACCTCACTATGTGGCGATATTTGCATAATGCGCCCAAATGTGCACGCAAAGAAAGAAGGCGTGGTTTCAGTAACCGCAGTTAGTGTTGAAGCAGCAGAGGACCTACAATAATGTACAGTATTTGAAAAAGAATGTGTTTTTTGAACATTAAAGCATGTCATCATATTCTGTTACACCAAATACACAAAATAATGATCTTTAAAAATGCATAATATGACCCCTTTAAATAAATTTAAAAAATACAACAAATAGTAAAATAGTCATTCAATAAATATTAAAATGGCTTGCCATACAGATTAGAAACGTATATGCCACACACATTTAAAACTTCGGCAAGTTTATCACTCAGTTTGTAGTAGTTAGTAGTCTGAGACCAAGTAAACATACCGCTGGATTCCAGCTCTTTCACGAGCGCATGGGAGTCAAACGTGAGTTTCCTCTGTTCCAGTGGCGTTAACTCCACTTTTCTCACATCAAATGTCTTGACAGCAGTCGTTTTATGGAATCCTAAAAGGAAAAATACTTCTGTAAACCCTTGAAATGCGCAAATTACTGCACTGTGTCGTCGAACAGCACTCACCTCTCTGATGGCACATTGGTTGGATGTTGAGCTGATGCCGTTTTAGCAGCGAGGAGAACTGGTATTGTCTCCGAATAAAGATTCCCCAGCATGACATTGTTATATGGCTAACCTAAATAAATATAGGATTATTTATGTGGGAAGTAATTGTTATGCGCATTTAGCTTCTATTAGTTACTTTTTGTAAATTGCTCAACAACAGCCAAGACGAATTCTCGTGTAACTTGTGTTATGCCTTCCCTCTCTCGGTCATTCCACCTTTCAGGGTCAACTCGATTAGTACTGTCTTTAAAAACTCTCCAGGTCTGTTCGTTTACTATGTGGTTTCCCGTTTTGGTATACTTTAGATGACATTTCGATAGATTGTGAAGAAGGTGGAGTTTTTCAAGTTTTTTTTCTTTGTCTTTTTGATGGTAGAAATAAAATAGGCAACTAGAAAAGCAGTTAGCTTGACACAATGCTAAGCGGCCCGGATGTGCGACGGTTCTAAAGAATAATTTTCAACTTTTAACTGTTCACTGTGTATTTTAAATGAACACATTTCTATTAAAGTTTATCATTGCGATAATTTATGAATAAATTATTATCCACTCCAGACCGCTACTCTGGCGTTACTTTTCACAACGTTTTTGTGTTGACTAATCACAATCATTTGTGATCTCTGTTTAAGCATTTTTAAACATCAATTTATAGGGATTTCTGGTGCGTATTTATTATTGTATATTAGCGACCAACTTTATAATGTTGACATGTCAAAGATTATACTTTTTAGTGCACAAATATAACCGATTATACAAAAATAACGTCCTGATATGTACATTTGGCTCAAAGGGTCTTCCGGCTTTCTGAGCCGCTAAGCGCCCCCTGCAGGGGGACATGTGTACGTCAGCAACATTGCACCTCACAAAGGTTGTAATTGTATTTCGGCTTTTAGAAATAAAGTTTTCCTTTCTCTAAGAAACTGTCATGGCTGCGCCCATGACTAACGATCAGAGCTGGTTTTATTCTCTGGCTCTTGGAGTTTCGTTTCTCAAATGTCTTTTGATAAATGCTTAGTAAGTGAATTTATCTCACATAATATACTTTTTATCTCATGTGATCACATTAAACCGAAAACCCATAGTATGTCAGAAGAGCGAGCAATGAGATTCATTCATTCTAACTTGTTAACTAAGAGGAAATAATTGTTTTGCATCACCTAATGCCAAGCAATTTAATATTGTCATTTAAAATGATTGTATTTCAGCCACTCTACGGACTTTGAAGTACATAGGAACTGGCTTGCCCTGACTCACAGTCTGCCAGTATCACAGTGGTATTATGAGGTAGTCTTATGGATTTATACAGTTTTCATGCCATTGTACTACATATAACACACACATACACAGGTTTTCATTTTGTGTTTTTTTTTTTTTTTCAGGCTACATCTGAGTGGACATTGGATTATCCTCCCCTGTTTGCTTGGTTTGAATATGGACTTTCTCATATTGCCCGCTTTTTTGATAAGGAGATGCTGGTTGTTCAGAATCTGAATTATGCAAGTCCAGCCACAGTCCTGTTCCAAAGACTGTCAGTCATTGTGGCTGATGTGGTCTTCTTTTATGCGGTTAAAGAGTATGTAGCTTCTACATGCCACAATTTGATCCAAAGTAGTTTTTATACCTTTGTCTTTTTAGATTTGAAAGATAATTTTACAGAAAGACAATGTTAAAGGCTTGCTTATGTTAAAATCTGGGATGAAAAGCATTTGTACTATTCTAGATGCTGCAAATGTTTGCGAGAAGGCAAAGGAAAAGACCTTCTGGGAAAGCCATCTTTCATCCTGACAGTGCTGTTGCTGTGGAACTTTGGCCTTCTAATTGTTGATCGTATCCTTGGAGATCTGGCACATTAATAAGTCAAGTCATGCATGCCCCAATGTGGCTCAGACATGTCATTTCACTTACCTGAAGTTAATTTTGCTTGACTGAATTCCTGCAGATATTCATTTCCAGTATAATGGCTTCCTGTTTGGAGTTCTTCTTTTATCAATAGCAAGACATTTCCAGGTATTAGCTGTAATTTCTGTGTTATTTAGTGAGTTTTAAGACATAACTAATAATGTGAAATTTGAAATCAATTTGAATTTCATTATATTTTTTCTTATTTGACTTATTAGAAAATTTGTTGGAATATATTTATTATTTTGTGTGTTAACAGAATAGACACTTCGAGGGGGCCTTGCTGTTTTCAGTACTTTTAAACCTGAAGCACATATATCTGTACATCGCACCTGCATACGGTATCTACCTGCTGAGATGTTTTTGTTTCACCCAGAGCAATGCAGGTAAGTAAATTTTTTTATATGTATGCATGTATGTGTATATATATATATATATATATATATATATATATATATATATATATATATATATATATATATATATATATATATATATATATATATATATATATATATATATATTTATACACTGAACAAAATTATAAACTCAACACTTTTGTTTTTGCCCCCATTTTTCATGAGCTGAACTCAAAGATCTAAGACTTTTTCTATGTACACAGAATGCGTATTTCTCTCAAATATTGTTTACAAATCTGTCTAAATTGTGTTAGGGTGAGCACTTCTCCTTTGCCGAGTGACGAGAGGGGCGGGGCCGAGAGCCGTGGGAACGCAGCGAGGCCGGTGGAGTAATTGCTAATGTAACGTAGTTTGTAGATCGGGAAGAAGGAGGCGGGAACTGGCGAACATTCAAATAAACTTTAATAAAATAAACTAACTCAAAATAGCGCGACATCCCCTCGCGGATGACTGTCGCGCACAAACGAAACCAAAACACAAAATAAAATCCAGGCCTGGTCCTCTCTCGTCTATCACTGTCGTCACTCCTCCTTTTTATCCTTCCGGAGCTCCTCCGTGAGACTCAAGACCGGTGGATCACTCAGGTATTTCTGTGCATTCAAAATGCCATCAATATAATGCACCTGTGTTCGTTGTCCATAACATACGCCTACCCATACCATAACCCCAGCGCCACTATGGGCCACTCGATCCACAATGTTGACATCAGCAAACCGCTCACCCACACATACACGCTGCCTGCCATCTGCCCTGTACAGTGAACACCGGGATTCATACGTGAAGAGAACACCTCTCCAAAGTGCCAGACGCCATTGAATGTGAGCATTTGCCCACTCAAGTCGTTTATGACGACGAACTGCAGTCAGGTCGAGACCCCAGTGAGGATGACGAGCATGCAGATGAGCTTCCCTGAGACGGTTTCTTACAGTTTGTGCAGAAATTCTTTGGTTATGCAAACTGATTGTTGCAGCAGCTGTCCGGGTGGCTGGTCTCAGACGATCTTGGAGGTGAAGATGCTGGATGTGGAGGTCCTGGGCTGGTGTGGTTACACGTGGTCTGCGGTTGGATGTACTGTCAAATTCTCTGAAACGGCTCATGGAGGAGAAATGAACATTCAATTCACGGGCAACAGCTCTGGTGGACATTCCTGCAGTCAGCATGCCAATTGCACGCTCCCTCAAAACTTGCGACATCTGTGGCATTGTGCTGTGTGATAAAACTGCACATTTTAGAGTGGCCTTTTATTGTGGCCAGCCTAAGGCACACCTGTGCAATAATCATGCTGTCCAATCAGCATCTTGATATGCCACACCTGTGAGGTGGATGGATTATCTTGGCAAAGGAGAAGTGCTCACTAACACAGATTTAGACAGATTTGTGAACAATATTTGAGAGAAATAGGCCTTTTATGTACATAGAAAAAGTCTTAGATCTTTGAGTTCAGCTCATGTAAAATGGGGGCAAAAACAAAAGTGTTGCGTTTATAATTTTGTTCAGTGTATATATGTGTGTGTGTGTATGCGTTTTTGTGACAAATGAGGACATAAATTTGTATAATGACAAAGGTATGACATAGGTATTACAAGGAGAAGGTGACTTTTCAGGACATTACCCCATGTCCCCACTTTTCAAAACGCTTATAAATCACACAGAATGGAGTGTATTGAAAATCTGAAATAGCACAAAGTCTCCTGTGAGGGGTAGGTTTAGGGGTAGGGTTGGTAAAGGGCAATAGAATATACAGTCTGTACAGTATAAAAACCATTACGCCTATGGGATGTCCCCACTTTTCACAAATGTAAACCTGTGTGTGTATACAGTATATATGATCTATAAATATATATAAAATTCTTGTTTTTCAGATGGATCTTTGCAGTGGAGAAGTTTCAGTGTTGTGCGACTTGTAACACTAGGAACTATAGTATTGTCTACTTTTGCGATGTCATTTGGACCCTTTATAGCACTGGTTTGTTATTAATATATGAAAAACTTTGCATTAAATTGATCAAAAGTGAAAGCAAAGAGATTTATAATGTTGCATAAGATTTATAATGTTACATAAGTTACAAAATATTTATATTTTGATCAAATTATTTTAAACTTTTGTATTTTTTATTATTATTATTAAGCAGTAGCATGATTTCTGAAGTACCAAGTGACACTGAAAACTGGAGTAATTTTAACACAGAAGGTTCATTGATAAATCTTGTTCATCTTTATTCATTAAGGGTCAGCTGCCACAAGTCCTGTCACGACTCTTCCCTTTCAAGCGTGGTCTGTGTCATGTGTATTGGGCACCAAACATCTGGGCACTTTACAATATAGCAGATAAAGCTTTTTCCATCCTGGGTATGTTCAATAACTCAAACAATTGTGTTGTGTTGCTATAGGTTAAATAGAAAAACTATATAGAATCATTTGATTGTATGTTCATATCATGAGCGTTGACACATTATTCAATTATTTAGGTGTGAAATTCAAACTGCTTGATATAAACAAACTTCCTAAGGCCTCAATGACTGCTGGTCTGGTTCAGGAGTTACAGCACTCTGTGCTTCCTTCAGTCTCTCCTTTAGCAACCCTTGTTTGTACGTTACTGTCAATATTGGTGAGTTCTTTTTGATTTGCATTGCTAATCTGAATATTCAAATAGATGGCCTTGATTTCATCCATTGACTATGAATAATGATCAATACAAAAAAGGAAATTGATTTCAAGATTTGCCAAACTCTGATGCATATACCATTTTTGTCACTTTGTCCCTTGCAGCCTGCTCTTTTCAAGATATGGCATAGACCTAATGGAGCGAGAGGATTCTTGCGCTGCCTTGTCATTTGTGCCCTTGGATCCTTTATGTTTGGTTGGCATGTGCATGAGAAAGCCATTCTGATGGCCATACTTCCTTTAAGGTGTTCATCTGATGGTATTCTTACATAAGCATGTTCTGCCAGCCACCTACTAAACACGGTTTCTTGTTTTTCAGTTTGCTCGCTGTGGAGAGTAGAGAGGATGTCAGGATTTTTCTTATGCTCAGTGTAACCGGCCATTATTCCCTATTTCCACTGCTCTTCACAACCCAAGGTACGTCCCATTCAGAAAAACTCATAACATCTCACAACAAGCATTTTGCGTCCTTACTGAGTGTGATACTTAAGGATATTAATTCTTAATTCCAGAGTTGCCAATCAAAATATTTCTCATGTTGCTATTTACAATCTTCAGTCTCACGTCCCTAAAAATGCTGTTCAGGTCAGTACTTAAAATGGGATTATTGGACTTATATTGCCTTGAAGTTTGAGCAAATTATTGGTGATGTGATTCTTCATTTGATTTTTCAGGAAGGGCGGGGCTTTGTTGAACCCATTGGAAGCGACGTATCTCTTGGGCCTGATTCCTCTTGAGCTGATCTGTGAGTTTGTTTACCCGCTGACAGTCTGGCAGAAGACATTTCCCTTCCTTCCTCTCATGCTCACTTCAGGTTACTGTGCGCTGGGAGTGACATATGCCTTTATCAGACTTTATATTTCGTTGCTTACATGTTCAGATACCACTAAAAAGACTAAAATGCAGTGAATCGTGTGATGCAGATGCTGGAGGATGGGCATAATATCAAGGAGCTGTTTATTCCTGCTGAATTGGACAAAAATATTTCAATGGACCAAAATGAATGATTTGTAGCTGATATCTTGGGATTTGTTTGGGGATGGTTTGTGGGATATGACTATCTCGGTACTCAGTTATTTGCTACCTTAAATAATGATATAATGTAGACTATGCATTCAAATGTTTATTTTTTAAGGTGTTTCTGTAAATGTATTTGCTTAGAAAATCTGCCTATGAGCTGCAGTGTTGTTATTCATTAAAACTATTAAAAAATGTTAATAGAAATAAAGCTGAAATAATTTCAGTTTATAAATATTAATATAAATATTAGACCAAAACACTTAGAAATATTGCTTAAATAAATTGAAGTACTAAAATTAAAATAAATAGAAATAGAAATACAGAAAAAGCAAATAAAAATGACAAAAGCACATACAAAAATGATTTGACATTTAAATGAAAACTGAAAATATGCAAAATAAATGCTCATTTAAAATATTAATAAATACTATAATAGTATACAAATAAAACTAAAATGATGTGCTTTTAAACATTGGTTTGATTAAACAATTTTATTAATATGGCAACATAAATATTTCATACCTGATGACATATTTCCTGATTCTTACTAAGTATAGAAAGACGATACCTCATTCAAGTATTTGATGTTTTTCCTGAAATATTTCTGGAGTGAAACAGAGTTTCGTCACTGGAGGCAAGTGTGCAGTCAGGGTATGAAAATGATAATCTCAAAGCTTCATATCGAGCATTTGTGGCTTTCATTATGAACATTTTTTAGAAAACAAAGTAACAGAGAAAACAAAGTCGTGGAAGTCACATCATGCTAAAGAATTCCCACCTTAATGTCTCAGTTCTGGGGCCTTATTTATAACACAAAATCCAAGCCAATATTCACATTTATAAAAACTGTGGAAAAGTGCTTAGCGCCACTTCAGATTCTAAACAGGTGTATGCATTTTGTGTGTGTGTGTGTGTGTGTGTTCATTAATTTTTTTGCATCACATGTATGCATATTTGAGAATTGATCATCGGATCAAATGAAGGATGGTTGCAACATCTTATAAACAAGGCCCCCGATCTCTGGTGTGCATCCAACTGAACAATGTCATATCAGATCCCCTCACTGGTGTTTATGTACTGTATGCTATGGTTACACAATTTAAATTTAGTGCTTAAAGATCAAGCCTGAGTCTAGACATACATATTGTAACTGTCTGCTTTTTAGTGATGCTGTTAAAATATTTCCAAGAGTAAAAGCACTTTTAGAGTCCTTTTAGAGCCGACTTCTAAACAGCGGCATTACAGAAATATACATTGAAATACGTGCATTACAGATTCAGAATTTTGGGGTCGGTAAGAATTTTTTTTTTCTTTTTACATCTTTTACGCTCACCAAGGCTGCATTTAATTTTCAGCAGCCATTACTCCAGTCTTCAGTGTCACATTATCCTTCAGAAATCATTCTAATATGCTGATTTGATACTCAAGAAACATTTCTTCTTATTATCAATACTGAAAACAGTTGTGTTGCTTTATACTTTTGTGGAAACTGTGATATCTTTTTCAGGACATTTTGATCAATAGAATAACACCATTATTAGAAATCTTTTGTAAAATTATAAATGTTTTTACTGTCACAGTCAGTTTAATGTGTCTTTCCTGAATATTTTTTTTATTTCATAAAATTCTTACTGAATCCAAACCTTTGAATGGTAAAGGATATAAGTCTCAAAAATGCAAGTACTAATTTTGAAAACTTTGTTTTAATGTTTTGACAAGTTTAGATCAGCTAAAAGACAGGTGGAAGTGCATTTAATTAATTTCCTTTGCACCTACTGCATCAGGTAACTAAAAATTTGATGCTTTCCTTTTATAAAGTGCTATAATATTTGTGATATTATATCAGTGGTCACAACTGGTGGGCCACAGACAAGAAATGGGTTTTAGGTCTATTCTGGGTCACGGACAACAAAATAAACAGGCACAACTTCCCATTGTTAATAACGCCAAAGATGTTGATGTCAACATATTGTGGCCAACTATTGCATTTATGAATTTATCAAATTGTTATATTTCTCACTCAGCCTGGTTACTCAGCTAATGTAGTAAATTGTTGGGTCTATGCAGTTCATTGTAATATTATGTTGATTACAACATTGTATAGAAATGTTTGATTTACAGGTACATTTTGTACATTAAACTATTTTTGTTCTGTGTTGGGTTGCCATTTGATGTCCAATGTAAAATATAGGCAAAAACCAGCTGAGAACCATTGCTCTACATTTCCCAGTTCTTAGGGCAATTCAGGCCACATTGGCAATGGACTGTCTCAGAGTTCACTCTCAGAGCAATATAGTCGTGCCATAAATAGTTCAAGCACAAGTACATGGATTATATGATGTGCTCATCCAATGAAAGTCACTAGATGTGTGCACAGTGTTCTCTACTGAGCCTTTCCTTAAAAAGCACCACACTGCTCCCTCCTAAGCCTTGCCAGCAGTTCCTTAGTCTCCTGAATCCCCCTTATAGCATTAGAAGATCAATGTTCAGCTGAGGACAGCTCAGATGCAAGGCTTAGTATCTCCACTGGGGTCAGACAGCACCATGCTTTTTGCACAATTTTCTGTTGAGGAAATCTCACAGGTGCTGTGAGAAGCTACATCTGTTCCTCAAGAGTGGGACTACCAAACTCCACTTTCATTTTGCTTTCAGGTGGAGAATTTTCTGTTTTCTCTGTCCTTAAGTTGGCGTTTAGCCAGCCTAACTTGTATTGATTGGATTCTGTCGCCCTTCCACAATAATGACCAGGACTGGAGTGAGGTCCATCAGTTTCTTCAGCATATCCATAATGTCAGGATGATCTTTGGCTCCTTCAATGAATTCCTCCAGCGTCAGTTCACCTGAACGTTTAAGTAACGAGAGATGTAATCAACTAGAATATATAAATGCATATAGATGAGGATTTTCATAAATTAACTGGTTCTCTCACCTTCTCCGTTAACATCAATCTTTTCAAATATAAGAGCCACTACTTCCTCTGGCACAATGTCACGATTTCTTGTAATGTCTTGTATAGCCTGTTGTAAAAAAAAAAGAAAGAAAAACATAACTTTTTTTTCTTTTATAGAAACATCACTGAAAATCTATTACAAATTTTCCATCCCTAGAACTGCAGCAGCATTGTGTGGCGTAGCAGAGTAGCCACCTGAGGTCAGCTGAACATGAGACCTTCATGACACGCAACACTATTTCCACTCTAAGAAGTGTCAGTCTCAGAAACCCTAGAACAGAAACAGCACACGGAAGACAGTTCTCTAACTGGATTAAATCAGATCATGTACAAGTTAAGCAGACTGATCCGGCAGTCAGGTTCTATTTTTGACTTTCTATTTTCGGTTCGTTCACAAAGACCTGATGTGTGAGAAAATATAAATGTAGGTAATTCAGTGATTATCCTAAGCAGAGTTTAATATATGACATTAATTGTGTCCCATATCACGTACTAATGCACTATTACATTTTAGTATAAATAGTGCGAGTAGTGTGCACTGTAAATACCTGGATGATGCACTTAAATAACCCCAAAAAAAGAAAGTGTGGAATTTTGGACACTTCATGCTCTCAACTCTCACAGCTTTAATTACGTGGCAAAGAGGGAGGGGCTATCAGACTCTGATTATGAATGATAATGTAAGCTTATATATTTCATACACTACATGGTTGAGTGCATAGTGTGTATTGCATCATTTGTGCAACAACAACAAAAAAGCTGATGGGAATGGTTTATGGTATTCGTTAAAATGTTCACTTACAGTAAATATCGTTTCCAATTCATCCTTGTCAATTTTTCCATTGCCATCCTGGTCAAAAAGTTTGAAGTACCATTTCAGTTTCTGATTGATTTCCCCCTTCAGCATTAAACTAATAGCAGCGATATATTCCACAAAATCTATGTATCCATCCTAAAGAAAAGAGAGAGAGGGACAGTTCATATTACAATATTTTTTGTTAGGCTGTTTTAATATGAACAATTCACATATGGAGATCCAGGCAAGATCATTATGTTAGCTTGCTTTTTAACCTTAATCAGTGTAAGTTTTGTAACATTGTTACTTTGTAAGCTTTTCTCCTCTAAGCTGAACAGTCTACAATGAAATCTCAATGTACTTGGCACATCAGTAAACCAATCAAGTGAGCTTGGAAGAATTACACAACAAAATGTAACCTTCATATTTCTTATTACACATCATATATCATATTGCCTGTTGTCGACACATTCCCCATATGGCAAAATATAACAAATACAATAAAACAAAATGGCTAAAAAATATTGCTAGAATAAATGTTAAAATATATTGTTACATATATTTCCTAATTTATATTTTTGACAATCTTTTAGTTATGTTTTCAATCGAAACATATTTATACTGTCCAAATTATGCTTTAAAAATTACATTTTGCACTGAACCAAAATGCATTTTAAGACTGGATTGGAAGGATTTTCTCAGAAGTACATTTTGTAATATATTTTGGCATTTGAACAAAGCAAAATGGTAACTAAATATATTTTCAATATTAAAAATATATATTTATTTTATTACGTTTTACAGTGTACTATATATCTATTTATTTACTACCAGCATATATTTGTCATATATTTTGGCCTTTTCTGTTGTGTCAGAAGGCTGTTGGCCATAATAAAAAATAGTTATTGTTAAAACTGCACAGTATTAATATTTACATGTATAAATTAGTATTGTACAGTTTTATCCAAAGTAACTCACAAATCAGATATGCGTTTGCTGTCTCTTCCAAGTAATACCTGTGTAAATGATAAACGGTTTACCACCAGAGTTGACCTTGTTTTATCTGATCTCTGGTACACAAGTCTATTTGAAACATCCATTTAAGGTCAAACAATACATGATAGTTATGTAGCACGGCTAAGAATGATGATTTGCAAGATTGGAGAATTAGATCTTACTATTCAAAAATTACATTGATTATTGATATTACATGCAAATTCAAGAATGAAACCTCACCCCATCCATGTCGAAAGTGAAGAACACCTGGTCCACATAACTGTTAGCATCCTCATTCATGCCCTGCAGTCCCAGGATGGATTTGAGTTCAAAAAGTGTGATCAGGCCTGATGGAGACTCCCTCATGAACTTGTTATACCAGTGGTGCATGTCCTCAGCAAGGATGTCGTCCAGACTTGCGTGTGTGTTCCCCATGGCTGTGCCCTGCAGCCCTCGCACACCTTCTGTTCCGTTGCTGGACCAGACGGTTGCAGGCCTGTGAGCTCTGACAACGAGGTGCAGACTGGCCTCCGCACACAGTGACAGCACAGGATACTGAATGTCTGAAACTATTAGGTCCAAGTACTAATAAAAAGAGGTGGCACCTTAAAATAACTACTGCTAATGGGATAATGACAAGACCTGACCTGTAAAGAGTAACTGGCACAGAGTAGCCAATGCCTATATAACAGCGTTCAGGATCCAGATGAATGTTTGTGTGGTCATTTGCAGAGTGCATCGGAGGCGTTACAGTTTTGGAAAGTCTAACAATTAGTTATCCATCTCTCTGAATGCAGATTTTAAATAACTTTTTTTTATTTTTGACAAAATAAGTTTAAAATGTAAATAGGCATGATAAAATTCTGCTGATACTGAGTAACCCATGTTATTTTCATATTATGGCAGATAATGACATTAAAATTCTATACTATTTTGTCTGAATATAAAAAAATAAAAAAAAACTATAACCAATCATTTTAAATACTACAAGTGAATTTATGCATTGCAATATTAAAATAATTTAGAATTTAGGCATTACAACATTCAAATATTGTAGGCGTGTGAAAAATGGATATTCATTTTGTTATTTGCTAGCAATTACATTTAACAGTGCTATTAAATGATTTTTTGAATGATTATGAAATACTTAAAAAAAAGTTAAGATCATATAAAAGTGTGCACAATTAAATATCGATAGAAAATCTAAAATATTGACCATTAAGTGATATATTGTGCATCCCTTAATTTATTTGATCAATGATTGCATATAGTTTCTTATCCTGCAGAATCAACATAACATTTTATTACTTTATAAAAGTATATTATTGTAGGATTTATTGTTTTGCACAATTCGTGCATAAATTAAATGGAAATATATATATATAAATAAGATGTTTTGCATAACCAGCTAAACAGTTTTACAAAATAGCAAAATCCAAGTGGTGTAGTTCCGTTTAAAAAAATATATAAACTAAACTAAAATTTAAAAAAAAAACTGTTTAGTGTTAATAGCAAATGTACAATCACTATACTGTTGCAGGTGAAAAAAACATTCGCTTTCATTTTCTGTCAATGTATATAAAACACATTAAACAGAAATTAATGGTGAGAAAGCATATTTTGCAATTTATGGGTAATGGAGTTGTCACATAACTATTGGTGATATGACCTGATATGACCCAGCTTCGTTTTGTCCGCATACCAGTCCGATCACTGACTTTTCTCACTTGAAAGTGGTGACGAGGCAGATCTGTGCTCTTCATTAGGGTCTTAATGTGCTTTGTATCCACTGCAGTAAATGGGATTAAGTGACTGCTGTCATTAGCTCAAACGTTCATTGTGAGCGTCAGCCTGAACCTCTCAACTCGTGCCATTTCTAAAGGTCTACCAGTAAATTAAGGTAAATTTGCTATGCCGAGATTACCAGCAGCGACTCAATCAAACGTCACGTGAAGGAACTAAACAAATGAACACATTAATGATCAAAGTGCAACACATGCAAACATACTTACATAATTATATAAAAAACACTGAAATGTGATTAGCTTGTGTGCCGTATGCATGCTCAAACCTGACACTGAAAACCAATCAGAGCAAGAGGAGGATGTTATACTTAAACTTGGATTTTTAATACACAGTATCAACTGTAATGAAAGTATGATTATCAATAATAATTTGTATTATAATATTACATATATTGTCCAGTCAGAACAGTGGAGCAAAAAGTGAACAGGTTGTAATTCCACCCAACAGACACTTCTGTGAAAATCATTTTCAAATTCTCATAGCAATGATTGTTATCCTCATCATTTTCCATTTATTTATTTATTTACATCAGACTTTGCATGACAATATTAGCAATCAGGACAAACCAAAAGTCTGGTAGTATTTCAGTAATAGCCAGATTAGGAAGCATGAGTTGATCCACCATAACCCTCCCCTGACCTTGAATATCTGAATCTAATCTTTAATTAATCTCATTGCCATTTCTGAACAATATTGAATCCTTTCAGGACTTATAAAAGCAGCATGATATTTGGGTCTATGCCATAGTTAAGTATTCTAGTCTGTAGTCAGGGCCAATTTTAAAACACAGAACACATGCTTAATGAGAGAGCTACAGAGCGCTATTTAAATGATAATCTGTCCCTCACTAGAGCTTCCATGAGGTCAGCACAGATCCAAGAGATCCAGAGAACAGGTCTAACGCTGAAAATCTGTCAGTGCCCTGATTAAGAGATTTTATAAGAGAAATACGATATTTCTAGTACTTCTGCACTGAACATACAGTGGGGCAAAAAAGTATTTAGTCAGCCACCAATTGTGCAAGTTCTCCCACTTAAAAAGATGAGAGAGGCCTGTAATTTTCATCATAGGTATACCTCAACTATGGATACCTAGTTATTTGTACGTATTTTTAGCAAATATTTTGTCTAAAGGTCAGATCTTATGCAGAATAGGACCAGCCTAGGGTCATGACCTCGAGGTAAGTCTTCTCTAGAACCAGAACTTTCCATCTTAATCATGGAAATGTGATTTATTTTTCATATTCCCATTTTTTTTTTTCTGCAAGTCTCAACGATCAACTATTCATATTTTTGATAGGAATACAACTATGAACCACAAAAACAATAAAAAAATATGTCCTTTAGTGGAGACTAATAATTATATACAAAAGTAAAAACCAAAACAAATCCCATATGATCTCAAATCAAACGAATGTGTAAATTCATACAAGCGGCTCAGAACATTAATACAACTGTACAGGAGGGAAAATACTGTTGCTCTCTGCACCTGCAGGTTTCACTTGCACATTCAAACGACTCAAATGTTTGACATGGACAAGAAGTCTCAAACCAATTCACATTATTTCATCTTCTCCTGATGTCTTTGCTACGGTTAAGCAGTGAGTTTAAGGGAGTTCTTCGGTCTAAGGCAGATTTAGACCTTTATTTCTATTTAGAGACTTTACACTCCTGCAAAATAGAAATAATGAGATCAAATGAAACAAGCTAATGCATATAACATTTTTGAGCATGGATATGACACCTACTCACTTGGCTCTAACGGTTTACTTCATCTTCTTTCTGTTCCTCTTCTTTCTCATCTGTTTGTGGTTGCGTGACTAGCTCTTCACGTGTTTCTTCTGTGCTGTTATCCAGCTGCATTTCATCTTCACTTTTCTCTTCCTTTAGCTTTGGTTCTGTTTTCTCTTCTTTCTCTTCTGCCTCTTTCTTTTCTGAAATCACAATCTCCACTTTTTCCTCCAGGTCTGGCTTCTCTGAATCCGTAGGTTTAGTTTCCTGCTCAATCTGTTCTTTAGAGGAGAGAGATTCTGCATCTGGTGATGTCTTGTGTTCTTCAAACACATCTCCTTCATGCCCATTTGGAGTTGTTTGATCGAGGGTGGCTGAGGCTGTTTTATCTACATCTTCTCCGCCTTCATCTGCACTGGACTTCCTGTGTCGGCGAGACGGAGGGCGCCGCTTGATGGAATGTCGAGCTCTACCCTGCGCAGATGTAAAAATACGTGTGAATTCAAATTCTGCGACCAGGTTTTATCGGTTTGAATTCACTGATATGTGAAATGCTATGAAGTCTCAAACCTTGTTGATGCTTTTGAGAACAGTTCCGTCAGTGGGACTCTCAAAGCTGGCAGGGGTTTCCTCCTGTTTGGGCGTGACAGTTACGGGAGGACTAGAGGGGCTGCTGGGAGAGACGGGGGAGATGGACGCCACCGGTAATTTCACCACCCCTGGGCTCTTTGGGAAGGGCGGAGGTCCCGTGGGAGAAAGCGTAAGGCTGGCCTGTGTGAAATGGGATGGAAAATCACTTCCATCATCTAAAGCAATACTGACCTCTGTCCACTAGAGGGAAACACAACCAACCTGCAGTTTCTCAATGAGGGCAGAGTTTCTGTTCTTTCTGGTTGATACTGTTTCAGCTCCTTTCTGAACGGATAAAAAATAAATCAGTTACACAAAAACAAAACAAAACAAAAAAACTTTTAACAATACTGATGGTTTGTATTGAAAATGCTTTGAAAAGCTGCATCATTGCTAAAACACATTGCATATTTTGATTTGAGGTAATAGTTAACAAACATAATTCCTATATGCATTTAACTAGATAATGTTTTAACTACATTGTAATGAAAGCTAGTTTTATTACTGACAATTTAGAGTTTTTTTCCCCTCAATCCCTGCTCCTCTCACCTCATCCTGGCCTTGACCTGCATCATTACCAGCAGGCAGCTGCAGTGAGCGTGGGGGTCTCCTCCTCACAGGCTTGTTCTGGAACAAAAGAAGAGCTCAGATCCACATGCTATACATCCACATAAACACGTACATTCCTTACCACAAAAATTACATCCACAGAATTCTAATGATCAAAAAAAAAAAAAAATCAGCACCCCTCCAAACAAATAAATATTAATATTTTGTATTTAAAAATATAAAAATAACAAAATAAAATGAATACATAAAGTATGTATAGAATTAAATAATTGTTACAAATAATATAAAACATTTTATTAATATAAAAAATTAAATTAAATAAAAAAAGAATGTTATTATATTTGTAAAAGATAAAAATACACAAAGTCTACAAAAATTAAAAACTACAAAATGAATGAATGAAATATTTTTAGAAATAAAACAATACATCATATTTAAAAAAAGAAATAATTATAGAAATATTATACTATAATATAGAAACTGAAAAAATCTATTAAAGGGGTCATATGATGAATTTTTCCTTTCTCTTTGGAGTGTTACAAGCTCTTGGTGCATAAAGAAGATCTGTAAAGTTGCAAAGACTAAAGTCTCAAATCCAAAGAGATATTCTTTATAAAAGTTAAGAGTCAACCACACCTACCTAAAACGGCTCATTCTAACACGCCCCCACATGTATACGTCACGATGTGGGAAGATTTGCATAACACCGCCCAAATGTTCACGCAAAGAAAGAAGACGTAACTTTTATTCTCGCTGTAGTATTGTTGTTGCTGCCACCGCCATGTCGTGAAGGTGCTGTTTCTCGTTGTGAAAGCGAAACTACTTTGTTTGGCCTTCCAAAAGAGGACACGACTAGAAATCAGTGGTTAAGTTGTATTTACAACACTGTTCCAGAACACTTCAACCCAAATATTCAGATGTGTGCAGCACATTTTATGGAGGACTGTTTCCTGATCCTGGTAGAGTAGACTACAATGCTGGCTGTTCTGACTCACAGACTGTAAGTAAGTTTTTTATATTTAAAGAATTTGCCACTGATGATTCAAACGCGAGTTTTGAGCAGCGTAGAGTAGCACTTGTTTGTCATTTCTCCGATCACAAACGCAGACATGGTTTTATGTTACGCTCCGGCCGGACAGGGCATCACAGAATGGTAGGGGCATAACATTTCCGTCACACGCTTGAGGTGTTTGGCCAATCACAATGCACTGGATAGCTGGCCAATCACAGCACACCTCGCTTTTTCAGACCGATGAGCTTTGTAAAAATCTACGCGTTTCAGAAAGGCGGGGCATAGAGGAGAAACAATATGTACAGTATGTGGAAAATAATGTGTTTTTTGAACCTTAAACCGCATAAACACATTTCATTACACCAAATACACAAAATAATGTTCTTTTTAGCAACATCATATGACCCCTTTAAAAACTAAAAATAATTAGAATATTAAAAAAATAAAAAATGCATAATATTAATTAAATGTTTTTATAAATATTTAAGAAACAAAAAATTTATAAATATAAGAAGAAAAAAACATTTAAAAATCCTGTCTAAAAATAAAACACACTTTAAAAATTGCACGACTAAATTAAACATTAAGATAGGCAAACAACATTTTTAATGATATGCATATTGTATATACTTGTTTGCAATGAGGAAATGTTTGAGAAATGCTAAAGTGAGCAACAAGGCTTACAAAGGGGAAAAAGACAGGAAAGTAGTGGTAAAAACAAGACAACCCATCTGCCACCTGCATAGACATGCAGCATAGTATTTCTGCATTGCATAACATTCACTCTTATTAATATCTGTGCTTGAGGACGCCTTCCTTCGGTGTCTGTTTCCTAAGCGATAGAATGACACTTTGCCAAGCAGTTTATGAGGATTTGCACAACCAGTCTTAACATTAATACCTAGGCACATATAACAAGAGTTGCACATTCATAAGGACAAAAATCTGGGTGGCACAAAACCAAAAATCCACTGCAGAATTGTTCCAAAGAATGTGACAAGGAAATTTGCTTCCTTGTCTGCAATATAGGGGACGGGCCCAGAACTAACCTAGAAATATCCCCCTGAATTATACACTTCCTGTTTAAATGTACATAGCGGGTATCAGGAAACTTGTCTGTGTTACACAAGTTATTCATTTTAGACTTAATGTTATGCTATACTGCAATATAGAGTTCTTAATATACATAAATTGATTCTTTTGCTATGGATAAATAACCCTAACTTTCCAATTTTAATGTTAATGTCTTTTATTTTATCATTTGAGTTTTTGTTCTTTTGCTTAAGTTTTTATCCACACTAAACTAAGGGTTAACTGTTTTTTCAGGAAATTAGGAAAAATGAGCAGAAAAGCTGAAGATTGAAAACAAAATAATAAACTATAAGCAAAATCAGGGTGAAAAAGACGACTTTGTTAAAGTCCAGAAAAAAAGGAGATGGGACAAATTAGGAAGTTCAAGTGCGAAAGCAGAGAGGATGTGATCATATTCGGATAATATGAAACCTCACCACTTCAGCGTCTGTCATGTGGGATATTGGACAACTGAATTTTCCAGCTAGTTCAGCCACAGAGCGCTTTTTTACAACAGAATGCTCCTGAAATACAAAAATGTTAGTGTATGAATGAGAACGGCCCCTTCTTTTTGATATATTGTTTTTAATATTAATCTATGGAATTACAATCCATGGCAAAACACTCAAATCAATTTATTAACTGTAAAAACACCTGCCACTTTTATATATAACACATTTTCTTAAAAATTTATAAAAACACACACAATATTGCAACGGGCAAAGCAACACCCTCTATTTGAGAATTTTAGTCCAGCTTTGACTTTTTAAAGCTTCTAGTAAAAAAATGTCTAGTAAAAAATAAGGTGTGTAATGCTGACTTCCACAGTGAGGCTGAGAAAATTTCACCACAGGAAACCACAAGAGTCGTGAATGCTCATTTGAGCACAGTGATACGCAAAAGAGCGTATTTCAAAGAAAATCTTTGAGAAAGTGCTTTTTGAGCCATGCAACTGGCCTCATGGGGACACGAGTTCAGTCGGCTATGACTTTAGCCCGCTGTTATCATCCCTGTCTCAGGCTCTTCCATCCACAGGCCTCCATCTATGACCATTAGCACTCTCACTATCAGTGAATGGAAACCAGTGCTGCCTTCTCAAAAGTGATTGCAGAATGTGGTATTTTAGGGCTGAGGCCCTAAAACTGTTTGTTGTCAAGGCGTTCAGTCTCAGAGCTTTGTGGGAACCTTCCAACACTAAGCTGCATGCAGTCTATATCTTACAGGATGTTGTTTATACAATGATGAGGCAACTTAAGATAAACTGAAGTATATAAGACAAGTCAAAAACTGGAAGGGTGCTTGAGCAAGCCAAGAGTATAAAATCAGAAGCGTCATTTCTATTCAAACCAGCAAAGCTATTATGAATGCAACTTTTTGATTAAATAAAGTTGTACAATTTGCAGGTTCAAACATTTATATTTAAAACAAAAAATTTGTTGTCATCCTAAAATGTTAAATCTACTCTTTTCCATTAATTGAAAATGCATGATGATCAATGGCTGTCGCAATTATCTTTTTTAAATATTATGTTTTATTTATTATAAATTGTACACTCTAAAAAATGCTGGGTTAAATACAACCCAGTGCTGGGTAAAATAGGGACAAACCCAGCAATTGGGTTAACCCAACCGCTGGGTCAAAACAGCCCAATTGCTGGGTTTGTCCCTATTTTACCCAGCACTGGGTTGTATTTAACCCAGCATTTTTTAGAGTGTATTATTATATATACACAATTAGTTAAGAGTTCGTAGATTGTAACAAGTGACTGTCTTTATGAATGAATCATTTAATTATTCACTCAAACGATTCATTCAAAAACCCAGTTTCATCTTGAAACAAAACAAAAGACTACTGTATGAGTGGGTCATTGAGTCATTCGCTCAACTGATTTAATGATTCAAAATCAACTGATTTAATGACCCAACTGATTCAAAAACACTGATTCATCTAGAAATGTAACACTGCCTACTGTATGTTGCTCAGTTGCTCATGTGCAATGCTTTACTGTCTAAAGTAAAGTAAAAACAGACAACTGGCAAAGTTGTGTGTGAAATGTATGCTACTCAATATTAAGTTGAAATAAATTAATGTTTTAATATACTTTTATAATACTTATAAATATATTAGGTTGGGATTTGAACCTGAATCTTCAAATTCTACACGCAAATATGTCAAGCTAACACAGAACTACAATTTTTTAAAACTTCTTGCTTTGGTGTCTATGAGAGCCTGGTAGCCTCTCATAAAAAAAATACATGACAGCCAGCTGCTTATTAAAATAGCCAAATAAGACCTGGTATATACCTGGTACCTTGATGCATTCAGGCCTCTATTTAAAAAAAAATCTTCTGCACTGTCTGCACTGCTCTCAGTCCTGCCCGTGTCTGCTGCTCATGTGTTCCAGCTCCACTAGATCCAGTCCTCTTTAAGATAAAAGCATTCCATCATGACATCATTTGCCCTATTTAGTGCCCAAGATGGACAGAAAAAAAGCTTGTTCTATGAAATAGCTTATTGCTATTTTAAATCTAGGCATTTCACTGATATATCAGGGTCCATGTGAACATAATATGCAAAAAAAATAAAAATAGCTCATGGTAATGACGTACACGTATGTGAACTGACACTGTTGTTGCTCACTTTAATCCAAGTGATGGTTCCCATGGACTTTATTATATTATAGATCACCAAGGACTATGGGTTCAGCTAAACATTTTCTTTACTGTTCTACTGAAGAAAGAAAGACACCTACGACTTGAATGGCCCAAGGGTGAGTAAATAAACAGCACCTTTTTATATCTGGGTGAACGATTTCTTTAAAAATTGAACATAAATGACAAATGGTGTTGTTTTTACTTTTAAAAGGTTTAATGCACATGCTCACATGTTAAGTACAGGGCATTGTGTGGGCAGCTCTTCCCTTGAGACCCAGTGGGTGGTGAGATTTACAACATTTGTGTGTGTGACTATGGGTGGTTAAGGGTGTGTGTGTGTGTCCCACAGCTGTGCCTTTGCACACATTTAACACACACCTGCAGAGATGACCCCTGAAGATGACATCACTGCTGCAATCGTCACTAATAATTTCTCCAACAATTTTACTACCTTAATAAACACCATGTAAGCAACAAAAGACAGATTCGTTCCAAAGCTTACTTTATCTTTACAAGAGTTGGCAGCAGTCAGATGACACAGGGTGAGTAAACAAAGCAACAAAAATAATCAATTCAGCATGAGCCTTTCTTCATCTCCAAAACAGAGGCATGATCATGATGACATACTCACTTTTTAACTGCACTGCTGGAGCTAGAATCAGCTCATTAAGGCCATCAGGAGTGTGGGAGCAGTTATGTGTAAAAAAACATCTAAGAGAGACTCAGGGGTATTTTGTCTGCGTTTCCTCTTCAACTGCTTCAGCCACATCAAAATTTTGAAAGCGACATCAAAAGGCAATTAAAATTAGATAAATAATTTGTAACCTGACATTAAACATTTGTAAAGAATTACATTTTTAGTAACACTTTACAGAAGCAAAAGCCCCAATTTCAGTTTGTAACAGTTAGTAATTACATATTAAAGCTGCTTTACTTTATTATTGTAACATTAATTTCACCACCATTCAAAAGTTTGAGGTCAGTAAGATTTTTAAGAAATTAATACTTTTATATTCAGCAAGGATGTATTAAACTGATCAAAAGTGGCAGTAGACTGTTACAATGTTTCAAAATATTTCTGTTTTAATTCTAATCTTTTGAACTATTCACTCATCAAATTAAGCAGCACAACTGTCTTCAAGTTTGATAATATGATTAAATATTTCTTGAGCACTAAATCAGCAAATTAGAATGATTTCTGAATTATCGTGTGACACTGAAGACTGTGAGTAATGGCTGCTGAAAATTCAGCTTTGCCATCACAGTATTCACGAGTTCACACTTGCATATAATCAGATTGAGCAAACAGTAAGCATATTTGGCATGCTGTCCAGAGGGAGGGCTCCAAGCTTGGAATATAGCCCCAACCCAGAGAACCCCCCAATCCCTAATCTGGGATGAGAAAAGTTAAGAGTGAGGAGTTGGGGTGGAGGAGGGATGCCGGAAAACTGTTGTGGGTGAGTTGGCTATATATATATATATATATATATATATATATATACGAATTGTGCTAGTTAAGATGATTATCTAGACGATCTCCACCTGTGCTGAATTGGTTGATTATCTGATCGTGCTCCTCCCGAACCTTGTTAATAAAACATCATATAAATGAAATTTTAAGATACATTAAAAAAAAATAAGAAAAAAAAAGTTTAAAAAAAGCAACAATATATAACAATATTACTGTTTTTACTGCATTTTTGGTCAAATAAATGCAGCATAAGAAACTTTTTTTTAAATATTAAAAATCTTACCGACCCTAAACTTTTGATCAGTAGTGAGCCTTTGATGTGACCTGGTATTTATAAATACTATATTAATATGAGTAACCATACAAAAATATGATTATAATAAGTGCCGTTTTGCATATGGTGTGCCACCTGCCTTTAACGCAAACTGTGAAAACATCAAATGTGACTGGTACATTAATCACCCCAAACATGCTCCTCATTTTAGAAGTCCACTAGTACACACTGCTGACTGTGACCCAGGCAGTGGAAGAAAAAAAAGAAGAATCTTATTAGTGCCCCACAAAGAATCTGTTGTAAATCAAAGTGGGACACGAGGACATGAGGAAGCAGCCATGATTCTGGCCATTGACCTCCATTCTAAAAAAACAAAAACAAAAAAAACACACAGATTAATCAGAAGCAAGAAAGTCACACTGACTGTGACAGATTTGTATTTTTTAGGTAAACAATCCTTTTTAAGAGTTAAAAAAAATAAAATGAAAAAAAAAATAATAAAACAATAAAAAAGAATAATAATAAAAAAAATATAATCACCTTGCAAAACATCTATAACATTTACAATTTATATTTCCTTGCAAAAAAAAAAAATTTGTTTAATCAGAATACACAGCAACTTTTAAATAGCAGTCAATAGAAAAAGATCTACCAACAGGGGCTAGCTGGGTCATGCTAACTAGCCAAACCTTGACCTCTTTAGTTAAAGTTAGCTAAATGTCTATATGTATACAGCTAGTGACCTGAATAACACTCTTGGTTAATAACGGCACCGACATTTGTGGTTTGTTACACCCAGGGGTGCTCCGATCAGGATATTTGAGGCTGATCACAGAAAGCAGTATCTGCCGATACCGATCACTGATACCGATCTTTTTAAAGGCTTCTTTTTGATCATTTATAACTATTTACAATGATACTCCAATCAGGATTTTTAGACATTTATTCAGGGCCTGAATTTCATTTTTGAAAATGGGGGGAATTCCCCTCTTAGGTGACTCTTGTGAGAGGGGAAGCAGCTTTCACACAGGAGTCCACTACTGATCCGTGGCTGTTCCTTTTGCATTTAAATCTTTATTACAAGCAATCCTGCTGTTCATAAAGAACTTTGTCTTTTATTCAGTG